GATTTCCCCCGAATTTTCCCCTTTTCCCGCCCCCAGGTGAGTGCTCAGGTGTGCCCAGGTGTATCCCAGGTGAGCCCAGGTGTACGGAACCATTCCCAGGTGTGTTTGTACCCCCCTCAGGTGTGCCCAGGTGTACGGAACCATTCCCAGGTGTGTTTGTATCCCCCTCAGGTGTGCCCAGGTGCGCCCAGGTGTGCCCAAACCCCAAAACCTCCCTCAAAACCCCGAATTTCCACCAAATTCCCACCGAATTTCACCAAATTTCCACCGATTTTCCCCAAAATTTCCCCGTTTCTCCATCCCCAGGTGCGCCCAGGTGCGCCAGGTGCGTGGAACCATTCTCAGGTGTGCCCAGGTGTGCCCAGGTGTGCCCAGTTGTGCCCAAACCCCAAAACCTCCCTCAAAACCCCCGAATTTCCATCAAATTCCCACCGAATTTCACCAAATTTCCACCGATTTTCCCCAAAATTTCCCCGTTTCTCCATCCCCAGGTGCGCCAGGTGCGCCCAGGTGTACGGAACCATTCCCAGGTGTGTTTGTATCCCCCTCAGGTGCGCCCAGGTGTACGGAACCATTCCCAGGTGTGCCCAGGTGTACGGAATCATTCCCAGGTGTGCCCAGGTGTGCCCAGGTGCGCCCAAACCCCAAAACCTCCCTCAAAACCCCCGAATTTCCATCAAATTCCCACCGATTTTCGCCAAATTCCCACCGATTTTCTCCCAAATTTCCCCATTTCTCCGTCCCCAGGTGCGCCCAGGTGCGCCAGGTGCGCCAGGTGTACGGAACCATTCCCAGGTGTGTTTGTATCCCCCTCAGGTGTGCCCAGGTGTGCCCAGGTGTGCCCAGGTGAGTGCCCAGGTGTGCCCAGGTGTGCCCAAACCCCAAAACCTCCCTCAAAACCCCCGAATTTCCACCAAATTCCCACCGATTTTCGCCAAATTTCCACCGATTTTCCCCCAAATTTCCCCATTTCTCCATCCCCAGGTGCGCCCAGGTGCGCCCAGGTGCATGGAACCATTCTCAGGTGTGCCCAGGTGTGTTTGTATCCCCCTCAGGTGCGCCCAGGTGCGCCAGGTGCGCCCAGGTGTAAGGAACCATTCCCAGGTGAGTGCCCAGGTGTGCCCAGGTGTGCCCAGGTGTGCCCAGTTGTGCCCAAACCCCAAAACCTCCCTCAAAACCCCCGAATTTCCACCAAATTCCCACCGATTTTCACCAAATTCCCACCGATTTTCCCCGAAATTTCCCCATTTCTCCGTCCCCAGGTGCGCCCAGGTGTGCCCAGGTGCGCCCAGGTGCGCCTCACCTGTCGCTGTGGCAGTGGGCGGCGGTCAGGACCCAGCTCCGGCCGATCAGGACGCCCCCGCAGTGCACGGCGCCCCCCGGCTGCAGCAGCAGCGCCTGGTACGGGTGCAGCCGCCGCGCGCAGCCGGCGCCGCCCACGATGCGGTTCTCGTCCGCCCCCGCGGCCGCTGGCCGGTT